ATATATATATTTTTTTTAGTTTTCGGTGGACACAACATCTTTGTATGTGGTGCTGAGGATCGAACTCCCGCCGCACGCATGCCTGGTGAGTGCACTACCGCTTTAACCACATCCCCAGCCCAATATTTTATTCTTTTAACTATAAAACAACACATGAACACAGTATTTAAAAGATGAAAACACTACAAAGTCAGTCAAGTCTTCCATTTAGTAGTCAATCCCAACTCCCATTCAAAAGGGAGCATGTTTATAATTTGCTCTGTAGACTTCCAGATCTTTTAAAATAATTTTAATGTAGTATGTCCTCACAGTTCATAGCTTTAAGTTTTTTAAAACATAAATGGAAGGTATTATCCTTACAACTTGCTTTTTTCGTGTAACAATATATTTTGGAGAGACTCCTGTGACAGTATACATTTATAGAGTTCTTAACCCTTTAATGGTCATATTGCTGTCCCAAGAACTTACTGATGGCCCCTTAGTTTACTGCCAGTTTTAAGGTATAATGAACCAATGTAGTTTTATGTATATCTTTGTAAGCACATAACAAGTATTTCTGTAGAATCATACCTCAAAGTAGAATTTGTAGGTCAATATGAATGCAAGTATTGAATTCTTCCATTATGAGCATCAAAAACTCTTCCCTAACCTAGCTTATGCAAAAAGGCAACTACATAGTGTCTCATGGAATTGAATAATGTAAGGCATATGGCTTCAGCATTAGCTAGATCTAAAGCTGGAAATACCCATTCTTTCTGTTATCTGGGTTCAATACAATTTTAGCCTCCATGCCATGACATTCCATGTTCTATTCCTCAGAGGCACAGTAGTCCCAACCTCATTCACCCATCACCACACCCAATGGAAGGGTCCATATCCAAATTCCCAAAGTCTATTATACAGTTATAGTCAACCAGCTTATGTCATATTCACTCCTGTATGCACTAAAAGGGTAGACCTGCCTAAAACAGAGAGGAAGTAGAAGGTACAGAGGGTGAGGAAGAAAAGGTTTGGAAATCTGCCTACATATGCATAACTTATTGTTTTCCATTTGGCATGGCAAAGGGAGAGATCATTCAACCAAAACTTGAGAGATCAAGGCCAAGGTAGAGTAGACACACTTCCCCCTATTTTTCCCACTGTAGGGATAAAAATACTAGACATTATATCCAGAAGAAACCTAAGACCAAAAAGTAGAGAAAAGAAAGCTCAGTAATAGAGCACTTGCCTAACACTGCAAAAGGAGGAGAAGGAAAAGGAAGGCTGCCCCAAATATTCTAGGGATCTCAGGTCCCAAAGAATAAGAGCTGCCAGTTTTTGCATCTCATATCCTAAACAGGAAATTAAAGAAAAGAACACAACAGAACTGCTGACAGGAGCAGACAGAAACACACACCCATTATCTCCAGCCAAAGAAACCAGAAAAGGGGAACCTTGCCTGGCAGAAAAGTTCTAGACTATACCAAATACCGTGGGGGAAATGCAATCCTACTCCTACTTCTACCAGCAAAGGCTGAGTGGGGAGACCAAATTCCCACCTTTACCCAGCTATAACAAGGCATCACTCTCACTCCTGCCATATTTCTATCAGAAAAGATCAAATGGGAAATACAGACTTGGACTGGGTGTATAGCTCAGATGGTAGAGTGCTTGCCTGTCTTTCATGCACAAGGTCCTGGGTTCAATCTGAAGAAGGAGGAGGAGGAGGAGGAGGAGGAGGAGGAGGAGGAGATAAAGACTTTTATCCCCACCTGATAGAAGTGAGCTTCCAAGACCTTCATGACCAAGAGTGGCATGTGGGAATTCTGTACTTCTTCCCAGACCCAGCACTAAGAAAGTGCACTTTCCCCTTCTTCATTGAGTGGTGTCAGAAGTGGCTGAATGTGACAATGAGGCCTCCACCTACCTACCTATCACTCCCTGATCTGCTGCTGTGATATCAGTAGAGGCCTAGAAGGCAGCCTGAAATCCCGCCTCTGTCTAGAAACACCTCTCAACTGGGTGTCAAAGGAGGCCACGTGAGGAATCTGGACTTCCCCCCCCCACCTAGCCGCAGTGAGGTTGTAACCCTCATTCTCCAACAAGAACACCTTCAGAGGAGATACAGAAAATTTCAGTAATATCTGGATTCTCATACATAATACTTAAAATAGCTGAGACACAATGGAAAACCATGCACCATACCAAGAACAAGGAAGTTTTTTTTTCTCATTCAATTTGAAAATAAGAATAAGCATCAAGATGACGGAGGTACTGGAATTCTCTAACAAAAATTTTAAAGCAGACATCATTAAAATGCCATAATATCTCAGTAGATACATATAACATACTAGCAGAGAGGAAAGGAGAATCGGTGAACTTAAAAAATATAACAACATAAATCACCTAATTTGAACAACAGACAGAACTATGGAAAAAAGGAACAGAACCTCAGATCTGTGAGACTAAAAAGACTAAAAAACAAACAAATTTAAAAAAAGGCCTAACAATCATGCAATCAGAGTCCATAAAAGAGAAAAAAGGTGGGAATTTTTAAAGTATTTGAAGAAATAATGACTGGTCATACTACAGTGATAAAGCCACATCAATATTTATAGCAGCTCAATTCACATAGCTAAGCTATGGATCCAACCTAGGTGTCCTTCAATAAATGAATGGATAGAGAAAATGTATGCATACGCAATGGATTATTACTCAGCCATAAAAAAGAATGACTTTGCTGGTAAATGGATGAATATGGAGACTATCATGCTAAGTGAAATAAGCCAATCCCAAAAAACCAAAGGCTAAACATTCTGATATGTAGATGCTAACACATAATTAGTGGAGGAGGGAAGAATAGAAGTTCATTGGATTAGACAAAGGGGAATGAAGGGAGGTGGGGGGATGGGAATAGGAAAGACATAGAAATTATCAGATATAACTTTCTTATGTTCATATATGAATACACCACCAGAGAAACTCTACATCATATACAACCAAAAGAATGGGATCCCAATTAAAACAAGTTACACTCTATGTATATACGTCAAAATACACTGTCATTATCTAAACAAACAAATAAAAATTAAAAGAAAGAAAAAAGAAATAATGGCTGGTGACTAAAAACATCCCCAGTTGAGCAAAAGACAGCTGATTCAAGAAGCAAATCCCAAACAGGAACAATCCAAAAAAATACAGAGACATGCAAATCAATCTTCAGAAAATAAAAGGACAAAGAAAAATATTTTTGAAGCAATTAGAAAACAAAAGTGACAACTTGAATATAAGAGAAAATCAATTTGAAAGTCAACAGATTTCTCAAGTGAAACTATGGAGGGCAGAAGGAAATGATACATTTTTCAAGAACTGAAGGAAAAGAATTGTCATGCTGTATTCTATTATTGGAAAAATTATCCTTTAGGAATCAAAACAGACATTCTGAGATGAAGGAAAATTGCGAGAATCTGTCATTGCTATACGCACCCTATGATAATTGCTAAACAAGTTCTTGAAAGAGAAAGGAAATTATTTTTAAAGGAATCCTAGAACACTGGGAAAGTAGAATGAGAAGTGCAAAAATATGGGTAAAACATAATTTACTTTCCTTCCCTTGTGTTTTCTAAATTATGGTTGACAATAATGGCAAAAAGTGTATCATCTGATGTAGATCTTTAAAAATGTAGAAAAGGAATGAAGACAACTTTAAATGCAGGACACTGAATGAAATTAATAGGAGATAAGGTAAAATGTCACATTTCATTCAAACTGGTAAAAAGTCAACAGCTGCAGATCTTCATGGTATTGAACAGTTCTGTATCTTGATTGCAGTGGCAATTTCAGGAATCTACACATACATCTACACATAAAATAACATAAAACTAGCTGGGCACCTATAATCCCAGCAGCTCAGGAGGCTGAGTCAGAAGGACTGTGGGTTGAAAGCCAGCCTCAGCAACTTAGTGAGGCACTAAGCAACTCAGTAAGACCCCGTCTCTAAATAAAATACAAAATAGGGCTGGGGATGTGGCTCAGTGGTTGAGTGCCCCTGAGTTCCATTCCCAGTAACCCCCCCCCCAAAAAAAAATCCAAATAGCATAAAACTATATATGCACATTCTACCAATGTCAATTTCCTATTAACATTAATTCATATTAATATTTGATATTATACCTAACTTCACAAGATCCAATAATTGGAGAAAACTGGGTGAATTGTATGTGAGACATAGTTTGGGGGGAGGGGAATAAAAGAAAAAAAAAACTTTAAGATTCAGACACCAAGATCTAGCACCACAAAAAAGTACCATCTTTCTCTTGGAAGCACATTTCCAAGGCAAAACACAGTACTTAAAGTTTTAAAGCCCAGTTAGGCTTGGCATCCAAATTCATTCTCTCAATAAAACCAAAGGGCCAATAAAGAATATGTGGGTTGTAAGACTTTTGAGTGTATAGAAGGGATGAGGAAAGAGAGCTAAACAACTGTGCTGTTTTAACGTAGCTCCCAAAGTTCATGTGTAAGGAAACTTAACCCCACTGCAATGTGTTGGGAGGTGAGACCTAATAAAAGATCATTAGGCTTTGCCCTCTGCAACGGCTTAGTTTTGTCATCTCCAGAGAGGGGTTATCCATCACTGAGTGGGTCTGTGATAAGAGTAAGCTCAGTCCCCTTCTACCATACTATCACCCTTCCACCTTCTGTCATCAAATGATGTAGCAAGAAGACCCTTACAAGATGTGGGTACTCAATCTTGGACTTCCCAGCATCCATAAATGTAAGAACGAAACCTCTGTTCTTTATAACTTACCAAATCCCATTCTGTTACAGCAGCAGAAAATGGACTAAAATAGCAATTATGGTATAGGAGCAAGACTTGCCTATTTATAAAAGCTAGTTAAATTTCCCATGAATTTATTCTTTAACTGACTTATTTTCTGAAATCATCTTCATATTTTGAAATCCAATGAAGTGCTGTCACTGGAAAACATTTGAAAAGCAGCCACTGTGGATGGAACCTATCACTGTCAATTCAGTAAAAAAATCCTTCACTGAATTACTATGGCTTATAAGGCAGTAAGCTGAATGCAATGCAGATGAAACACAATGGTATGCAAAATGCTCCTCACTTTTTCAGCGCTCACAGCGTTAGCAGAGAAAAATATGTCCACAAAAGATAGATAGTAATACCCACCACTATAAAGACTATGATGTCTTCTCTCAAGCCATCTTCTTAGAATTCATACCACATAGAAATTAAGCTAAGAATTACACTAACATGTGAGATTTTCTAATCTGCATCTATCCCAAGACTGTATATTGTAACAAGATTCTTCTTGGTCAATATTGAGTCTCCAGAAGCTCGGAGAAGAAACAATGAATGTATATTTGTTGGGTCAGTGAATAAACGAATGAGTAAATGAAATGTGTGTGAATAAAAGAGGTGGAGGAAGGAGAAAAGAGAATTAACAAAGCAAAATATTGGCAGCCTAAAGAGTAAGGTGACTGGGAGAAATTTGAAAGTGACCACACAGAATATTTAACTTCAAGGATGTCTAACATCCTTAATTAATCAAACCCTAAATTGCTTTTATATAGGCCCCAAACAACTCCCCCTTCACACACACACACACACACACACACATCTCCCCAATTAGACAAAGCTTATCTACATCAACCAAGGCCTTATGTGAGTACTTTAGAAGAAAATTAAGGAAAAAGGTAATGAAGGCTTTGCCAAGTTCCAAACCCTGAATTGTTGAAAAGGAGCAAGAAGCAAGACAAGGGATGGTTGAGCACAAGCAGAACTCAGAGCCAGAGGTCATTATGAAATGACCTGGAGCACACAAGTCCTGGAAGGGCACTGGATTTCCTAATTCCTTATAGGATGTTGGAAAGCTGGTTTAGGCCAATTTTACTTAAACTCAAAGGACTAATACTTCATATAAGATTTGATTCAGGAGGAGTCCTTATTTTTTTTAAGATAATGGGGCCAAAGCCAGCCACATTGGCACATTCCTGTAATTCTAATGACTCAGAAGCCTGTGGATCACAAGTTCAAGGCCAGCTTCAGCAATTTAGCCAGACCTGTCTAGAGATATAGCTCCATCCACAGTACAAAAACAAACAACAAAAAGATAATGGGTCCAAGAAGTAGTTTTAAAAAAAATGAGCAGAGAAGGCAGGCAAAAAAAAAATTTTATAAAATGAAGTGGGAATTTTTATCCAGAAAACAAACAGTGGAGGCAAAGAAAACTCTAAAAGCAGTAAACAATAAGTAAGCTATGATTTATGTGATGTTTACCTGATTTTTTCTGGTTTGGCAATCATATAATCCAAAGACAATATTTCTCTCGTCATCCTAAAAAAAGAAAAATAACCAGATGTTTATTTATGTCATAGTTTAGGAAGTTAGGCTAACACTAGTTTTAAAACAAACCTGCAATAATTCAATCTTAGCAATTAAAAACTCTAAAGGAGGATTTTTTTTTTCCAAGAATGCAGAATAGAGAAGGTCACTTTCCTGGCTGCTCCGTTGCTCGAAACCAAGAAGGTGTAGACAGGCAGCCTCTCAGCAAGGCAGCTTCTCAGCAAGGTGAGTGAACAAAGGTGGGGTGGGGGGGACTTTACTGGAATTTAAAACTGGACATTCAAATTAGACTAGGAATTCAGGAGGGTGGATATACTAAAATGAGGAAGAAATCCCTAGCAGTACAGCTGCTTCTGAGCTGGAAACACCAGCCAGAGTGGTCCCTCCATGAGCAAAGTGGAGGGATAAGGGAATTAAAGGAACCCACATTTCTAGAAGACCTGAGGCATTAAGAGATCAAGGATATTGCCCAACTAAACTGAAAGGCATGCTGCACAATACCCTTGTTCTGGGAAAAAACTGCCATCTCTCCTGGTGACATGTGGAGGACAAAGGAAGGAACCAGTTTGCAGCATCAGAGTGGAGGCCAGCAGCTGAGGGAAGCAATTCATGACAAACCCGAGTTTGTCCCAAAATACAGGCCCAGTAAACATACACTACATGACACAGAGTGTGCTTAAGTGACCAGGAGAAAAATCAAACAAGAAGAGTGGTTTACACAGGGACAACTGGTCATGGAAACCCACCGGGCTCTACCCCTACCTCCAATCCAGCTGCTTGCAGGACCGGCTGGGAGAGAATTCAGAAGGGAAGGGGTGGGAGAGACCGAGTTTGGAGACTAAACCCAGGACAACGAAGCATGGGCTTTTGAAAGTGATTTAGAGAACTAAGAATTGGCTCCTCTACCACACAAGTAGAACCCAGGAGAGATCCCTGGGGAATAGTCTTCCAGTGTAGACCAGCAATTACTGGGCACTATAGGTGAGCCGATTTTAAATCTCCAAACCAATCGGCATTCACCAAAGAGCCTGGAGCCCACCTAAGCCCAAACCCTGCCTCCAGGAATTCTACCTACAGAATACCTCTTACACTCGAGCAATCCAAAGGTAGAGCATTATATTCCAGACGACCCCACCTAAAACTACTAAGAATCTTTTGAACTCCAAAGGAAAGAATTCTTAACTTTTCATGGAGATGTTTTTTCCTTTTTCTTTTGTGTTTAATCGTGTTTAATGGTATATGGACATTTATACATACTCATTTTTTTCCTCATTTCTAGCATTTTTGAAGCCAGTTAATGTTCATGGATCAATTTTTTGAGAGAGAGAGAGAGAGAATTTTTTAATATTTATTTTTTAGTTTTCGGCAGACATAACATCTTTATTTGTATGTGGCGCTGAGGATCGAACCCGGGCCGCCGCATGCATGCCAGGCAAGCGCGCTACCACTTGAGCCACATCTCCAGCCCATGGATCAATTTTTAAGGACTCAGATGTTTGATTAGTATATTATAGTTTTGTTTTTATATTCTTAATTTTTTAAATGTTTACTTTATATATTCTCTCTTACCTGTTTCCCTTGATTCTATTGTTCTCTTTTCTTCCACTAACAGCCAATCTCTGTTAGTCTCTCTTTCACTCTTTAATTTTTTATTCTATCTTCTCTCCTCCTCCCCCATAATCATACTTCCTATATCTCTTCTGTTTCTTCCCTGTTCACCATTCAAATTTTTAAAATCTTTTGCAATCTTATTGTTTTTATTGTAGGCAATAAATGACCATATAATTTCTGTTTATTGTAATAATTAGCATTGTAGACATCATAGTAGAAACTATTTGGTTTAATGCTGTATATTGTTTGCATTGTTTGTTTTTATTTTTTGGCTCTTTCTAAACAATGAGGTACTGGAAACCTTCAGGGACACTAGAAATTCACAAGGTAGAAACTCTACTGCCTCAGATACATATTGTTAGATGGGTAGACATACAAACAATATGAAAAAGTAAGGGAACAAATCACCCTGAACAAACCAATATACTCCAATAACAGAATCCATCAACATCACAGTGGAAGAAATGTCAGAGAAGTACATAGTTTAACTGATATGGAAATAGAAGATGGTATAAGTAGTGAAATCAGAGAGAAAACACAGAAAGTGAAAGATCACTTCAATAAAGAGATTTTAAAAAAAGAAAAAAATCCTCAACATAAAAAAATCAATAACAAAATTAAAAATTCAATTGAAAGCATCACCAATAGACTAGATCACTTGTAAGACAGAGTTTCAGGCAATGAAGACAAAATATATAATCCTAAAAATAAAGTTTATCATGGAGAAAAGATATTAATAGACCATGAACAACTTCCAAGAAATATGGGATAACCTGAAAAGATCAAACTTAAGATTTAATGGGATAGATGTAGGCTCAGAGATACAAACAGACTCACTATCTTTTTAATTAAATAATATCAGAAAATTTCCCAAACATTAAAAATGAAATGTAAGATCAAATACAGGAGGCTTACAGGACCTCAAATATACAAAATTACAACAGACTCACACCAAGGCACATTATTAAGAAAATGCCTAACATACAGAATAAGGATAGAATTTTAAAGGCTGCCAGAGAACAAAAGGTAACATTTAGAGGGAAACTAATCTGAATCTCAGCTGATCTCTCAACCTAGACCCTCAAAGCTAGGAGGTTTTGGAATAATACATATCAAGCTCTAAAAGAAAAATTGATGCCAGCCAAGAATACTATACCCAGCCAGGTGTGGTGGTGCATGCCTCTCATCCCAGCAGCTCAGGAGGCTGAGGCAGGAGGATCACAAGTTCAAAGCCAGCCTCAGCAAAAGCAAGGCACTAAGCAACTCAGGAAGACCCTGTCTCTAAATAAAATACAAAATAGTGTTGGGAATGTGGCTCGGTGGTCAAGTGCCTGTGAGTTCAATTCCTACTACCTCCCCGCCCCCAAGAAAAATACTATACCCAACAAAATTAAGCTTCAGAATCAACAATGAAATTAAAAAATTCCATGATAAACAAAAGTTAAAAGAGTTCACAACTAGAAAGCCTACACTAGAACACATACTCAACAAGATATTTCATGAAGAATAAATGAAAAATAAAAGTGAAAAACAGCAGGGCTGGGGTTGTGGCTCAGTGGTAGAGTGCTTGCCTAGCATGTGTAAGGAAGTGGGTTTGATTCTCAACACCACATAAAAATAAATAAAGGTCCACCAACAACTAATAAAATATTTTTTAAAAAAACTGAAAACTAGCAAAGGAAGGAACTTACACTAAAATAAGAGCAAATCAATGGAGAAAGCAATTCAAATTAAAAATCAGAAATAAATCAAAATGACAGGGAATAAAAATCATATCTTAATAACATGGACTATAAATGGCCTGAACTCATCACGAAAAGAAATAGACTGGCAGATTGGATTAAAAAGCAAGGCCCAACAATATGTTATTTCCAATAGACACCTTATAAGCCAAGATATCCACAGACTGAAGGTAAAAGAATGGGAAAAAACATATTTACATGGATCATGTAAACAAGCAGGGGTTTCTAGCCTCATATCAGATAAAGTGGACTTCACACCAAAGTTAATCAGAAGGGACAAAGAAGGACATTTCATACTGCTTAAGGGAATTATACATCAAAAATACATAACAGTCACAAATATTTATGCCCCAAACAACAGAGCATCTATGTATATCAAACAAACCCTTCTCAATTTCAAGAATCAAATAGACCACAACATAATAATACTGGGTGACTTTAACACACTTCTCTCACTACTGGATAGATCCTTCAAACAAAAACTAAATAAAGAAGCTATAGAACTAAAAAAATACAATTTATAATTTATACTTAACAGACATATATATTTCATCCATCAATGACAAAATACATTTTTTTCTGAGCAGCACATAGATCCTTCTCTAAAAATAGACCATATCTTAGGCCATAAAACAACTCTCAGTAAATATAAAAATAGAGATAATACCTTGCATTTTATCAGAACATAATGGAATGAAATTTAAAATCAATTGTAGAATAAAAAATGGAAGCTACTAACACCTGGATACTAAATAACATGCTACTGAATGACCAATGGATAGCAGAAGAAATCAGGGGATGAAATAAAAAAGTACTTAGAGGTAAATGAGAATAGCAATACAACATATCAAAATCTCTGGGATACTATGGAGGCAGTGCTAAGAGAAAAGTTCATTGCATTGAGCTCATTCATTAAAAGAATAGAAAAGTCAACATCACTATAGTGATGTGGCCATATTCATAGCAGCTGGAGGCTATCATGCTAAATGAAATAAGCCAATCCACAAATATCAAAGGCATCTGACATGCAGATGCTGACTCACAATAGGTTGGGGGGCAGGAGATGTTTAACCAGATTGGACAGGGGAGAATGGGGGGAATGAAGGGAAGGGAGGAGGATTTGGAATGGGAAAGACAGTAAAATGAATTGGACATAACTTTCCTATGTTCATATATGAATACACAACCAATGTAACCTCACATCATGTACAACCACAATAATGGGAAATTATACCCCATGTGTGTAAGATATGTCAAAATACATTCTACTGTAATTTTTTAAAAAGCTAAAGGAAGCTTGCTGTGCATATCAGAAAGGGGCCAGGCCTGATTCAGCTGGCCATTTGGGCTCAAAGAGTTCAGAGGATCTTTATAGGACTGAGCATGGAGAAAGAGTCAATCATTTTGTATCTCCAGTAGTATCTTTAAGAGAATATTAGTGATGGCTGGGCATGATGTCACATGTCTAAAATCCCTGATACTCAGCTGCGACAGAAGGATGGCAAGTTGAAGGCCATCCTGGGAAACTCAGCAAGATCCTGACTCAAAAAATGAAAAGGGTTGGGGATATAGCTTAGTGGTAGAGCACTCCCGGGCTCAACCCCCAAAATCACCAAAAAAAAAAATAATCTATATAATAGATAATGGGATTGGCTTGAATAAATCCATGATATTCTTATGAATACAATTTTTTGAATCATACAATTTTTAAATACACTATCCTTAGATACAACTTAACATTTTTAAACAAAAGAAAGTACAATGATATAATTTTCAAAGCAAACTATGAGGATTTTTCTTCCATGTGTCCCTAGTAAAGTTATCAGTAAAATTAAATTTTCCTCAGAACACTTACTATTGGAAACACATTGTCTAATAATGCCTCACAAGTCCTAGAATATCTAGTTCTGAATAGACAAAAATCAAATTTAACATATCTTCAAAGACAAAAAATTAACAGTTGTCAAGTTTAAACATCTTGACATTTTCCTCTAGAAATTGAAATTGTTCTTTTACTCAAATTTTTTGAGCTTCAAATATGCTCATTTTATCTTATTTTAAAAAGAAACATTTCTTAAGACTTCAAATCACTCTATTCAATATCACACACAAAAACAAGAGCCAGAGGTTAAATACCAAGTCTTATCCATTACCCTTCTATACAGGAGAGAATTTTCATAAAATAACATAAATGGTTAAAATAGTAAATTTTGTTGCATTTACTTTACCACAATAAAGAGAACATATACATACCTTGTAGTTATAAATAATATTTCCATTTCTTTCAACATTTAGTATACATAAGCTCTCATAATTTGTTTCTAAAACATCTGAAATAAAATAATAGCCAGTTATTTTAAGATTTAAGATGTTTAAATACGTAGCTAAATTAGTGAAAGAAGTACAAAGCATACATGCTGAGGATTCCATTATACCCAGATTAAAAGCAAGCAAACCCAATCTCACTTACTGGAAGTCAGAACAACAGTGACCTTTCAGGAAGAAGAAAGGAGGCAGAGATACCATCACCTGAGGGAGGCCTTCTAAGGTGTTGATAAGTTTGCACACCTTAGGTACACAGATAAGCTCACCTTTTAATCTCTTACTGAGCTGCACACTTTATACTGTATACTTGCCTGCATGTGTCACACCTAAATAAATTTTCAGTATCTAATAGTTTTTGCTTTATATATTTTGAGGATAAGTTAGGAACAAATTCGGAACTGGTATAGCTTCCTGGTGAATTAACTTGTCAGGCACACAGCTGAGCTTCCATGTGTCTCAGTTGTTAAATGAGATAAAAAAGAAAATAACAGTTAAGCCCTTAATCATTATGATGCTATATCCAGGGGCTAAACAGAAAAGTGCCAACTTCTTTGTTGCATTTCCATATGGAAAGGTGAGGTATGGTGAAGGATCAGGTGCATTAGCAGAGATGTGGGAAATTCTTCCTGTTGAGGGAGCAAGATGGACACAGAAACAGAAGGGAGATGGGGAGTCATTTGGATTCTGAGTCTACTGACAAAAAGTTATCAAAGTTCCCTTCTTCCCCTTGTGGGAAAGTCTTTGCTGAAGACCCCCAAAAAAGAGGCCTCCCAATGAAGACACTCAGATCTAGCAAGGCACCTATGAACAGGTATGGCCAGGGCCCAGGCCTGCCTGCAACTCTCTTGGCAACTGCATTTCCTTGGCTATATGTCCAGTCTGATTTAGGGAGGACAGCTCTCCTGTAAAGACTTCCAGGTAAAGCCTTCCTTATGACTGCACATATTCATGTCTGAAAATTCACACAGAAGTTTTGAACCAGGAGCTGAACTAGTCAACCACTTCAATATAAAAATGTATTTTTATCTAATAATTCTTTACTCCAAAGTCTATTTTACCTTATACTAATATACTACATCAGCTTTCTTCAGAGTATTGCTTATATGAGATAGCTTGTTCTAGCCTTTCATTAATGTTCCTGTGCCCTTATAAGTTATATATTTTATAAGCAGTATCTACTCATGATCTCATCTGACAGTTTTAATCTTTATTTGGAGTATGTAGTCCACTTTCATTTACCATAATTACTGACATATTGGGTTTATTTTACCATTTGCTTTCCGAGACTCACTTGTTTTACTCTTTCATTTTCTTGATTAATCAGTTCATTATTTCATTTTCCTATTTCCTCATTAATTTCATATTCTTTTGCTATTCTTTTATTAGTTATCCTAACGATTTTGAGCATTCTCAATATTATGTTTTAATGTCATGTGGTACCACAAAATGGAAGTGAAATTTCATAAACTGTTAATGGGATATAAATTGAAAAACTGTTAGCAACGTCTATTGAGGCTCAACATATGTGACTCAGCAATTGCACTTTATGTGAATATATGTGTGTGTGTGAAAAAATATATATATATACACACACATATACACATACATATATTCAACAGAAGTACATATGTTCAGCAAAAGACATGTTTATAGTACTATGGTTCAGAATAGCCAAAGTAAAAATGCCAAATATCCTTCAAGAAAGAATAATTGTTATGTCCAATGTTATATCTCACAATTAGAATGAATTAGCCTATAACAATATAAAAACAGAAAAATCAAATTCCAAACCCCAACCACTAATAAAAATAATAAACTATATGATTCGATTTATATACAGACTTCAAAAACAGGTAAAACTATAAAACTAATCTATGTTGCTGTATAAATGACAGCTGAAGGGAGACATGAAGGATCCCCATGGTGCTAACTAGCATTTGGTGCAAGAATGAATGTTATGTGAGCTTCACTCAGAAAAGTAAATGAGCTGTGCATTTGATTTTGTACTTTTCTGTACAAAAGACATTTTGAAGGATATTTACACAAATATTTACAACTGGCCATCTTCTAAAACTTTTAGGATAGCCCTAATTGTACAGTTAAAGGATTCAAAAATTAGTGGATACAATGTTAATAACTTGTTGGGTAGAAATGCATATTTTCAACTTCCTCAAAGCTATCCAAAAAACTAAATTGCTTCACTCATTTTTTCTATACATTAATACTGCTTTTAGATATTAAATTATGTTGATGACAAATTATAATATTCAGATAAGACATGCAAAACATTCTATAACTCAGAGCAAAATTTTGTTTGTATTCCCTATTTAAAGGGGGAGAAAAGGAAGGTAATAAGGATAACTAGTAAGGACATCTGCACTGAGCTAGGAAGCATTTAGACAGGGGAAGTATAGTTTCATTAACTTCAATCATCCTGAGAGCCCTTCTCCACCCCTCATAAGCAGAAGCTGTGTGGATCTCCTAGGGGTGGGGCAAAGAGAGAGGGAAGTTTATATATGTTTTTTTTCAACATATATTGAACTATCATACATGCTTTACACTAATTTTAATATAAGGACAACCATTTGGCCTCTTAGCAGTAAAATAATTGAATCATATTCTGCTAAATAGCACTTCCAAATTCAGAGTTCTTGTTTCTAGAACATCCACACCATGTATACTGTGCTGCAGACCCATTGTGCAATAACAGAGTTGAGTTCCAGGGAGAAGACACTTGATCAACATAGACAAAGTGGGGCAGACTCATCTTAAATCTAAAATAGGTAAGTAGAATGATGCGCAAAGTGTCCTGTATCAAGCTTACAATAGGAAAATGGGTAATTATTTTAAAATCCTTTTAAAGTAGATTTTGTAAACATCTAAGGAGAATTTAGTGAGTTCCTTTTGATCCCACACATGACTCAAAACCTCTGGAATGCAATGTGTCAATATCTTGAGAAGTATTTTTTTTTCTTTCAAGATTATGAGGTTGCTGGGACAGACTTGTACAAAAGCACACTTAAAAGGTTTCAATCAAGATAAGAAACTCCTGATAAAAAGTCTTGGTGAGAAAAATCAAGGTTGTTTTTTTTTTTTTTAATAAACACACCTATTTTCAAATTACTAAAAAAAAATTAACAAATGACATCTTTATTCCATTAAACCATTAATTCTCAACTCTATGACAGAAACATCAGAGAAGTTCTTAAAGAAACATTGGTACCCCACCCCCAGGCTCTAACCAAGATATTTTCATTTTATTGGGCTAGTGTGTGTTTATTCCCTGCATGATTCTAATAGAATCCTGGATTGCAAACCAATAAACTATATATTTATGTTACATTTTAGGCAACATTAGACAGAAAAACTAGGACCAAAATATGATATAACTATGGTAGAGAGGGTTGAAAAAAAATGCCTTCATGGAGTACATTAAATAATGCCAACCCTGCAGTGAAGTGCATGGCTCACATCTCTAGAATATTTAAAACAGATTTGGCAATGTTGGAAATCTAGAGACCAACATATCACCACACACCATTAACCCACTGGCCCTTCCTTCCTAGATTAGTTTGCTCATGTTTTAAACACACCCTATTTTTTTTAAAGGGGTGTTCAATAACCTCTTTGCTTATTCATTATGACTCTTCTCTCAGTAGTTCATTTCTGGAAAGTCCAGAAGAGGAAGTTTAGCAATTTCAAATGAGGAAATGTGATTTTATAGTTCAATGTATTCAGTGTTCACAAAGAAAAAAATGTAGCATTGATAGATGAGATACTTACATAAGTAAACCTACCAAAGGTCAGTACCTAGATATCCAAGGTATTGGGAAGTCATAACTCATGTAAAACAGAAGCTGGCTTTCCAGGTAGTCTCATCCATTTCAACTTATTCTTTGCCAAAAGTGATTTCACTTTACAGGAAGGTGCATCACAAATGCATAAATTTTATCCCAAACTGTTATACGAGACAAAAATAAAAGTATTTTTTCTTTCCAACAACAATACTTGGGGCAGAGGGGAGTCATGAAGGCTCACACAAAAATCAGAATTAGTTACAAATACCTTAGATCAAGAAGTAATGAAATAGCCAGGTGTGGTGATACATACCTGTAATCCCAGCAGCTTGAGAGGCTGAAGAACTGGGGATGTTGTTCAGTGATTAAGTGCCCCTGGGTTCAATCCCCAGTAACGCCCCCCCCACCAAAAAAAATAGTACCATACTACAACACTCTTATTCTGTAAATAATCCCCATAAATCCTCAGGCTCAATATGACCAGATATTATAACTCCTAAATAGATAAAGTAAATATCATGTAACTTATATTTTATATTGTGAATGAGAAAAAGAATCATACACTTAATTAAAAAGCAATAAAAAGAGATGAGAATTAGCAGATGAGCAAAGTAGGGGAGGGAAAAGTAAATAGGAAAGACAGTGGCAAGAGAATTGTGAAGGAAATGAAAACAATGAAACCAAGGCAAATCCTGGTCTCAAAAATCAATCTGGGGGTTCACAAGAGGCAACAGAAAAGCTTACTCTTAAAACCTAGCAGAACACATCACTTTCCTGGCAAGGATGAATTATTAAAAATAAAAAAACGTTTTGATCTAGTATATCATAAATCCAGAACTAATCAGAGAAAATACATATGAAAGAAGATCACATTTCCCACCCCCAAGAATTATATACAGATTATCCCTGATTTATATTTCAATTTATGATTTTTCACTTTACAATGGTGCCAAAAGCAATATAAATCCAGTAAAACTATACTGAATTTTGATGTTTTCCTGGGCTAGCATTATGCAATAGGATACTCTCTTGCAATGCTGGGCAGCAGGAGCAAATCACAGCCACATCACGAGAGTAAACAACCTATACCCTACATGAACTGTGTTGCCAAGCCAGGATGTTCAGTAGGTCAAGCATGTTAAATGCATTTTCAATTTACTGTTTTCAACTTATGATGGATTTATGACAGTCTCCATCATAAATCTAGA